CCCAGCTTCTCTGAATACCAGGAATGAAAATGGAGTTACTTGCATTCTCTCTTTATCCAGCCCTATTTCTTTTAAATGGATTCTGCTGCGGGCTCTAGCCCCACTGGTTGTGTGAAAACACACCTAAGAAATACCTGGAGGACACAATTCCTTGCACACTTGCCTGCATTATATTCTTGAGGGCTTGGATTTTTTAATTCTTTTTTAATTAAGGTGTCCTTTTGGGGTTTCGTTTGGGTTTTGGGGTGTTTTTTAAAGTTTCCTCCTATGTAAGCAATAGCTGTACATAGACAAGGATCAAATCTCAGTGGCTTCACCCGGAACTGATTCAGATGTTACCAAATACTTAGAAATTTTCCAGTGGAAGGAGTTTTTGTGCATACGTACCCACCCTTCATATACATCCGGCTTTGATCCAGGTGGATTTCTCCCAGCATATGAGAGTGCTGTCTGAAGGCAGACTTGTTGCATTTGAGAACTGTACAGAGACAAGTACACTTCTTTACCTCCTTTATGCATCACCCTTTTGCACCTCAGCTCTGCCCCCTTTCCATCAGCCACTCCCCACCTCTTATGTCTCCAGCCTATTTTTCCACATAGCTTTCCCATTACAGCCACTGGATCTGCACAAGGGACCTTGTGCCCATGCTGTAAAAAGCCAGGAAAGATACAAATAGCAAGAAAAAACCCAAACTGTGCAACTTGCGGAATCTCAGCATTTCCATTCACATCAGGATCTGATTTATCTCACTGGAGGATCTGTCTGTGGAGCTGTTTTCCAGCAGTAGTAACTATCATGAGCCTTTTGTAAGCTTCTTTCAATTCCCAACATACTTCTTTCCTGTTTCTAGAAGTACAAACATTGACTTACCACTTTCCCTGTTCCCTTTCCTTTCAGCAGGGAACACTATACCCTAGGCATCACAGTCATACATACTCATAATAGTATCATGGTAGTAGTAGTATAATATACAAATAAATACTCAGAGTGTCCATCCTGAGGGTCAAAAAAAGGTGTTTTCTGAACACGTTACCCACACTGTGGATAAGGATGGTTGAAATGCTGGGAACTACCCAGTGCAGAACCATGCAGTGCCCTCTCCCCGTGCGCCCTGGTGTAGTTTAGGAGCCACAGGATCCAGGTCAAGTCAACTTTCCCAGGTGTCCAACAGCCCCAGCAGTGAATTTAGACACTTGCTTCTGTTTCCAGCCTCAAGACTTGGAGGCATCTGACCCGCCACAAGAACAGCAGCCTTCCGACTTCGTGGTGTACATAGGAGGAGAAAGGAAGTCGTAAGTAAGACTTCTCTCTGCCTGTTAATCACACAACGTGGTACAGCATCTTATCACACTGTTCCTCAGGAACGTCCCTGTACACACCACACGGCTCCAACTGTGAGCAAAACCACGAGCTACAGTTCATAAAACCCTCTCCTATCTCTACACGATAACTTCCTATCACAGGTAAAACCAGACATCTTCACTCCTGCCATGAAAGGTAACCACTTCTAAGGAAAGGAAACAAAAAAGAACCCAAGAAAGCCACACGTTGCATATCACAGAGCAGCATGAAAGAAAGATGGGGCCAGGGTTTTATTTTGTTACCAACTAATAGCACTTCCATAGTTTAGGAACATAGGATACACCTGTATAGAGGGAATTGGCCTTTTATACCTCATACTCCCAAAGACAGAGAACAGTTGGTCCAGGTCTGGGCAGCAGACTCTATAGCAAACACCAGACTGAATTGTCTGCATTAAAACCAACTTTTCCCTCCCTTTTAGCATTAACTGGTAGGTTTGTGGCTGATATTTAGGTCACCAGGCACAGCTTTTTGGAAAACTATCAAAATAGTATTGTTGGACATAAAAATGAGAATATTTCAGCAATATTTTGGATTTGAACACATTCAGGGTGAGTTCAAAATAATATTTGGAGTGTTTTATTCTAACAGTTTCCTCTCCAGAGTAGCACATGAATTACACACTTGTGCTCACCAGGCAGCCTCTGAGGAGACCATTAACTCAAACATTCTTGCAGCAATTCGTTTGTCTGCTATAGCTCAGCTTCAGTTATTCCTGCTTGAGGGAGAAAGCAATAGTAAGTCTGCCCGATTAAAGGTGAATCCCAGCCAAGATAAAGATGTGTGAGGAAAAGCACGTCCAGGCAAAACCATGTCTCTTTTTGGTACCATTCATACCCCAAAATACTTGGTGATGATCCCCCAGAAGCTTCCTCTTCCTGAGGCTGCTCTCCTTGAGCCAGCCCCCAGCTGATCCGTCTGTGCCGAAGCTCCACGTCTGGAATAAGTGGGAAGCACTAACTCCCCTCTTTGAAACGGGTTAACCTCACTTTGAAGGAAGCCTCAGAGCACAGCATGTGATTTACTGCCACCAATCCCCCCTAAAGCTTCCCAGCATGGTGAGAGTTAACTTGAGTGGTTTAGTCGGGGACATTTTGTCGCTGTAGGTCCCATCCAACCCAACCCATTCTATGGTTCTATGTCCCCCACTGGTGTCAGACTATTGAAACTACCCAAATAAGCAACAGCTTTCCAGATCTGGGTTGGGTTGGTTGCGTTGATCCCTTTCTGTGATGACTTTAAAGGTGCCACCTAAAGTCTGAAAGGTCTAATTGGTGCCCAAGTGTGCCCTCCTGAGCATGAGGTCAATCACTGATCACCCCCCAGAAAACACTCACATTGAGGAGTGATTTATTAGACCCCTTCCTGGTACCTTGGTTTAAGGAGGAGAGTAAATTCGGAGGGACCATGAGCCCTGAAGCATATGCTGCATGTTCTCTTCCACTGTTTTATTCCTGAATGAACAGGAAACACCCTAGTGCATACAATGACACGGGTTTGCTGCGTCAGATTCAGCATGGACATCTGAATGTTAAGTTATTGAGGTAGTGGGTATTCAGACTCATCCGTGCTCCTGAATACACACTTCCCCATATCCAGAGCAGCACCAGGCTTACATCTGGTGTGGGCAGGTTTACTATTTCTTGTCCTACCAACTGCAGCTCAGGACATAATTCACTGTATGTCCTGGTGATCCTGATAGAAAGTTCTTTCTCACTTTAACTGGTTTCACTCTGCCATCACTGACCAGAAAGGAAATAGTTTCAAGTTCGTTTATCTAGAACTGACTTCAGGCTGTTAGGTAAAATACACCCTCCAAACTACCTCGTGTTTCCTAGCTGAACCCCGGAGGAGCCAGTGAAGTACAGTAACATTGCACTGCATGGTTATGGGATATTTTGGCAAGAAACCAGGGGGGATGTTATTGCAGCTTATTGCACAAAAACATTTAACAGGAACAGCACTTTTCATCCACTTCCTGGCAAGCAGAGAGAACAGTCCCTGATGGATAATTGCCTTCCTCCTTCCCTCTTATGCACCCTCTGCCTGCAAGGGCAGCAGCAACGCTGGCAGCCAGGCCTGCTTTAGGAACACCCCAGCTACAAGCTGCTCCTCAGGCCACTGCAATCACAGAATCACAGGTTGGAAAAGACCTTTAAGCTCATCCAGTCCAACCATTGCCCAGCAGTGCCAAGGCCACCACTGACCCCTGGCACTGAGGCCTCGTCTACCCGGGCTGTGAACACTTGCAGGGACGGTGACTCCAGCCCTGCCCTGGGAAGCCAGGAAAGGTCCATCACAAAACCCTTCTTAGCATAGTAAAAAGCAGCAGCTTGATAGCCTTGTCCTTACTGAAGAGACCTCCCGAATCTCTGGTGGCAGCTGAGCAGCATCCATGGTAACACACCACAGCACACTACCAACGTGCTGGTTTTCAGTGCCTTATTACTTTTTATTTTTTTACTTATTTTTACTTATTTACTTATTACTATTACTTTTCACACTTGCCTTCCTCCTGGGCAGGTCCCTTCCCCTTCCCCTCAGGGCTGGTGCACCATGTGCTGGCAGCCACAAGAGGATGTCTCCAGGACGCTGGGGCAGCAGCAGCAGCGCAGCTTGGCTTGGGCAGAGCCTCCCATCCCTCTCCTGGGGCCGCTCCTCTCTCACCTGCAGTGTTTTCTCACTCTCTCACACACCTGCAGGGTGACTGTGCACTGCTGAGGTTAATTCTCATTGCCATGGCAGTGGTGAACCAGCACAGGACTGCCTCCATAGCTCTGCACCTCTGCAGGGTGAGCAAAGTAAAACTCCTAAAGCACTGGAAAGAGCAAAACCCCAGCACCTGGAACGCTGTGTGGCATAAGGAGCAAGGCCACCACCAAAGGAGGGGGTTCCATCCCTCTTTTCCTCCCCACTATAGTGTGAAAGCAGAGCCAGGGTGATGGTCCCTCAGCAGACCCAGGGGTTGCTGCTTCGCACTGCACAGTGACAATGACCTGAGGGTCCCTCCCCGGCTGCTGGGGCAGGTTCCTCCCTGGCTGCAGCTCCCGGGTCCCCTTGGGCATCGCTGCTCCCCTCCTGGCTCAGTGATCAGCCACGAAGCTGCTCACGTCGGCTCGCTTTACGTAAAAGCATCTCTAGATTCCAGCTACTGAGTTTCTCTGAACGTTTCCTGAAGGCCCTGGAAATGATGGAAGCCATGGGAACAAGCAGAAATTACCAAGCTTAGTTTTTTTAGGTCACTGTCAACTACACGCTTATCTGCTTCCAGAACACATAAGCCACGGGATGACATCTCAAGTCAACCAACACAGAAAGATAAGGACTAAAAAGGTGGTTTGGGCTGTAGATATGAATAAATCAGCTTCATGAAGGGGAAGTGTGTTTCTGTATTCAAATAAACAGCCTTTTTTTTCTTTGTAATCTCAAGCCCTCTTCCTTTTTCCTCAAAGGGTTCTTCTGGCAACAAAGACCTTTTTATGTCCCTGGGTTTTCATATTCTGCCCAGCAGCCTATCATAAGAAAGCACAAATCTACTGAATAGTAAAATGAGGATTATTTCCACTCATCTGTTGACAGACATCCCTCCAAATTGGATCAAATGATTAAAGGTATTAGAATGACGTCTTGCAGATCCAGAGCAAATCATCTGAAACCTTGAGACAGTTTCTCCTTTGCTTGGAAGGAACCACCACAAATAGCCAGAGGTGCCGACTGCCTGTTTTTTCTCACTAATGTGAAATTGTTCATTGGGATCTTTGAATATTTTACTTGCTTGAATCCCCAACGTGGGGAGCTCAAGATGGAAGGACCATGGAGCGGTTTGCTTCCCGCTGAGCTGGTCAGGGTCTCTTCCAATGCCTGAATGGTTTTTCCTCAAGTAGCTTCCGCCGAGAAGAGGGGTCCAGGCTGCGAAACCTTCCAACATCTCCCATTACAAAGATGGCACTGCTGAAAGTCAAATTCAACCAGAAGAAAAGGGTAAAACTAGCCCAGGGACTATGGCTCATGAACTGGTTTTCGGTGTTCGCTGGAATCCTTGTGTTTAGCATGGGATTGTTCCTCAAAATCGAGCTCCGGAAGCGAAGCGAAGTGATGGACAATTCTGAAAGCCACTTTGTGCCCAATTCTTTGATATTGATGGGTATATTATCCTGCGCCTTCAATGGTTTCGCTGGCAAAATTTGTTACGACTCTCTGGATCCCGCTAAATTTGCCAGGTGGAAGCCTTTGCTGAGACCTTACCTGGCACTGTGCTTCCTCTTTAACATGCTCATTTTCTTCGTTGCTCTGATTTGCTTTCTCATGAGGGGCTCTCTGGAGAGCACACTGGGCCAGGGGCTCAAGAATGGCATGAAGTTCTACCGGGACACGGACACCCCGGGCAGATGCTTCATGAAGAAGACCATCGACATGCTCCAAATCGAGTTCAAATGCTGTGGGAACAATGGCTTCAAAGATTGGTTCGAAATCCAGTGGATCAGCAACAGATACCTGGACTTCAGCTCCAAAGAAGTGAAAGAGTAAGTGACTTAGTGGGGTTTGTATCTCATAGTAACGTTGTTTGACCAATATTACACTAATGTACCAGTAGGCACTGACTGGAGGGGGTCTTGTATAAAATGTTATATTTTATATGGAGGGGTCTTGTATAAAATGGTTAGACTGCTTCCTCCCCTGCAAATTCGTAGAATTTTAGAATCAACTAGTTTGGAAAAAGCCTTTAAAATCATTTAAGTCCAACCATTCCCCCAGAACATAAAATGTAAAGCACCAAAATGCAAGTCTCACTCTCAGTGTGATGTAAACAGACTTAAAATCATAATTTCTACTTTTTACTTCTTTATAAAGCCATTCCACTGAGCCGCACGTATGTACTCCCCAGATCAACAGGGAAGCATCGGAACTTCTCTAAGCCTAAAGCAGATTTCAATGCAATTTATTAAGTTTCTAAAAAAAGACTTCCCTGGATATAGTCTGTTGATACCACTTTTAAAAGTCCACCTAGATGTTGGCAATCAATCAGTCTCACGGAAACAAATAGAAACAGGAATGCTTTGCCAATAACTCATGTGTTTTGAAACCTTAAGGTTTAGAGTTTTCCTTTCATATCCCTCAATGGATTGCTGTGAAAAGACTGAGCGTCAAGACCTGATGATCTTCTGCCTTTACACAGTGTCCCTTGTAGCCAAATGCACTTTAAGTTCTCTCCTTTACAAAGCCATGTTCTATGTGTATACTTATGCCTTTTTTTGTGAAACCTGACATAAAAACTAGCTTCCTTTATGCAAACCAGAACAGATTATTGAGCAGAAACACCTTAATGGCTCTGATGTCAGTGCCCAAAGAGGCAGTAATCTCCAAATCAGGTTAGGTGCAGTCAGCGCAAGGGAAAAATAAGCATGAGAACAAATGAACTTTTGCAATGAAAAAAGGAGCATTGAGCAGAAATACCCCCAACCTTTTAGAGAATTCAGCACTGGGGGAAGAGATCTTGATTCTAAGTTCTTTGGGACCATCATTCGTTAATGTTCATACTCTGTGGTTGCACCACGGGTCTCGTGAGCTGGAAGCAATCTGCCTTTCAAATGTACTGCCTATGTTAAAAGCGGCTGAAGTAATGTTGTGTCTCTCTTGGGATCCCTCTCTGACGGTGTAAATGGTATTTCACTTGTGTGTCTCTCTGATTATTGTTTTCACTTGGGTGGTCTGGTTGTTTTTGCAATCCAGAATCAGGACTTCAGAGTGAAAACTGTTCCAGGCTTAACCTATGGCACCGGGGGGTTGTAACGAATACATTTGCTGTTTAATAAGGGAGTATTGGCATTGCAAAGGTATGCCCGTGGGTATAAATAACTACTTGAAAACACCTTGCCAGCATTATATGGAGATTTGAGGGCTGTAACTTAATCCAGCAGCAGTGGAAGGGCAAAGCACAGGGGGAAAACAAGGTTATAGTGTCCTTAATAACTGATGGCTTGTTTGCGACGAGACTCGCAGCAATTTCTTTGTACTACTGAGGCTGGAAACAGGGCATTAAAAATCCACAAATGGATGTTAATTCAAGGTTCGAACTACACAGTGGTGCACGGTCTCTGCTCACATTCCTAGTAGGATATTCTGGCCCCTTTGAAGCCAATAGCAAAGTTCTCCTTAGCTCCAGGGAAGGTGGGAGTCCATCCCCTGCCATACTATCTTTATATTATTTGTAGAGCAAAGACCTGACCCAATCTGTCTGAAGCTGGTGGAGCTTGTACACATCCATGGGAATTAGACCCAACTCAGCATATACTTTAAATCCAGAGATAAAACCTCAACTGCATTTGGAGTTTAGGTATATTTAGGTCATGGCTGCAAAGTGGAACGTTGCTTCACCAGGCCATTGCGATCACCTGTCTCTCTATGGTGCAGCTTCCAAATACCCACATAGAAAGCTACAAGTGACTCTCAGATTCTCTTTTTGCCTTTCTAGGTCACTGGGGCTCTCCATTCTGTCGTTTTCCAAGTGAAATGGTATTTGTTAGAGTTGCAGTCCTGTTACTATAGTCTATTTTGCAGTGCCAGTGGAACTAATTGCCTTCTAAGTAGCTCTCATCTAAACATCTCATAAAGCACCAGACTAAATGACTGTTTATGGAGAACAACCAGAGTCTCAAGACAACAAGAGTTGGGGAGCTCCTCCAAGGACTTCAGAAGAACGTTTCATGTTTTAAATACTAGCTACCTTCCTAAGGTAGCCAGTATTTAAGCCAAGAATAAATGCATAGACCCTTTCTGGAGCTATTATCAGAGAGAAGCTATTAGGTGTGCTGAATCAGTGGTCTAGCCACATATGGTGGGCCCTAAAGCTGCTGTAGGTCCTTTTCCAAGCTCAGGTCACCTCCGGCATGTCCCTTCCACTCTAACTATGTTGTGATCACTCTTTTCTGCCTGCCCCTCCTGGAAATTCTCTCTGCCATTTACTTCTCTTAAAACATCATTTCTTCAAAGCGACCCAAGAGGGCACGTTTCCACCACTCAGAGTTCAGAGGCTCAGTGCAGCCTTGACACAGAAAAGGACTTCAGAGAGGAAAATAAACCTGGGACAAACACCACTGTACAAACAGGGGCTGTGGAGAAATGGCACGACCAGGAGGCACGGTGGAAACCCTGCATTGCTTTTGCTTTCCTTTCCTGTGCACGTTTGCTCCGGTCTGTCTCTATATGTGTGTGTGTGTGTTCATGCTTCCCTCTAACCTTGCCCACAGTCGGATCAAAAGCAACGTGGATGGAAGGTACCTGGTGGATGGTGTCCCTTTCAGCTGCTGCAACCCCAGCTCCCCGAGACCCTGCATCCAGTACCAGGTCACCAACAACTCTGCTCACTACAGCTACGACTACCAAACGGAGGAGCTCAACCTCTGGCGCCGCGGCTGCCGGGAAGCTCTCCTGCACTACTACAGCAGCATGATGAGCTCCATGGGTGCTGTCGTCCTCCTCGTCTGGCTGTTTGAGGTAACTCCGTCCCCTCAGCCCTGCTTGGCTGAAGCACTGGCTCTGGAGGGGCTCCAGAGCTGCTGGAGTTAAAGATTAGGTCTGTTTGAAATAAGTCATCTGCCACTGTTTTGTGGCTGAGAGAACGTCCCATAGTGGACATCTGCAGAAGGACTGATTGGTCCCAGGCCAGAGGCACGGCTGGAAAGTGTGGGGTGGGTTTGAGATTACAGACCCCCCTTCAGATTGGGGCCAGAGCCTCGAGCATCCCACGGCATAGAGGGAAAAGGGACCAATTTTCTGCCAAATGCAGGGTGCTGAGCAGCGAGGGCTTGGCTGAGCAGATGCATTCATTTTACATGTGTCACCATGAGTGGGAAGGAAAAGTACACACAGCATCAGAACAAGATGGTAGTGATTTGTGGGACAGAAAGTGCAATTAAGGCGTTTATGTGCTGATGAAAACAAGCCCCAGGACCATGCGTGGTGTCCAGCTTCAGGGCAGCATTTGGTTGAAGGTCCTTCATGAGCTCCACCAGTGTTTCCAGTCACAAGAAGTGGTTTAGGTGAAGCAGATGGATTAATTTTACTGTATCCTGCTTCCCAAATGCATTTATAAAGAGGCGCTAGTACCGCCCAGTGCAGGTTTTGTGGGCACCAGAACCTACATATGTTCATTCCATGGGAGGAAAATATGTCCTGCCCCTGCATTATATGTTGATAGAAGCACCGAGCTACAACCTCCCAGGAATAAAGATGCTTTTCAGAAAAGAAACACCCAAATAATCCATGAACTGAAAACAAAACTTACTTCACATTGTGTTGTTTTAAACATAACTCCTCTCCATGGCAGGAAATGCAGAACCTCCTCGTAGCGCCGTTATTCCAATTGGGAAAGAAAGAGGAGCTCGTGTCTTAGCGCAGGTTCAAATGAAAACGTCTTGAAGAGAGGGAATTTCACCTGTGTATGAAAATCAGAAGGAATTCAGAAACTCGGGGGAAAAATGCACAGAAATACTAATACTGCAACAAATCGTGAGCAGGAACCCCTGTAACACCCCTCTGCTGACTTGCAGGAGTCACGGCAGTGACACATTAACAGCAGCAATAAGCCCGCAGTATTGTATTCCCAGTGCTCCACAGTGCACCCAGGAGGTTTTCCCAACCTGTGGCACAATGAGAAATAAGATCTTCTCTTTTTTAATTCATTGTTTTCAAAATAAAAGGTGAGATTTTTTTTCCAGGCCTCTGGGGGCAAAGCTTTAAAGAAATATCACAGTCCTGGGTTATGGTATTGATTGGCCCTCCCAGATATTTATGTCCTGATATTCCACCATAAAGGGTCTAGATTTGGGTCTCAAACTCCCTCTGCTTTTAAGCCAAACTTTGAAGGGAGGGACCAAAGCAGGAAGCAGACATTTGTTTAGTCCCCCTTGAAACCTGACGTGCCAAATGGGTGTAGGGCCCTCAAGGAAGAATAAACCTATTTGGAAGTACCAAAACTTCTGTTTGTCAAAAGAACCCAACCAGAGCTGAGCGAGCCATCTCTGCTGGCAATGTGTTATTACCCACACGCTGCCTTTACTAGCAGAAGCTGTAGGCTAACCATGAGTGACAACCGGTCATGAGGGTGACAAAAAAAGATCACCCCCTGCTCTAGCTAAGCCGCCTCAGGCTAAACCCTGGTAAACAGATGGGCTTCGCTGCAGAAGGTCAAGCAGAGCACGCCTGGATGTCTTCTTGACCTGCCCCAGCCATCAAAGAGGAAAGGGGGGTTCAAGGGTGCCCTAAAAGGAGCGTTTCACAAGTGAGAGAAGGCAGTGGCTGGTTCCCAAGATGCTCCAGGTCCTTCACCTGTATAAACACGTGGCTCTCAATTGATTGCAGCTGCTGCAATGGCCAAGACCCCGAGATCCACCCCACACATGGTGCCACAGGGGGAGCCCAGCACTGAGCTCCAGGAGGGTGATGAGGCATGAGCGGGAGCTGCATCGCACATCGTGCACTGGCGGGTGAATCTCTGACGCACTGAGTGCTAGGAGTGAACTCCCAGTAACCCCCCAAACCAGCCCAGGCACCCTCCAGAAGGACAGAGTTGGCTCTGCAGGCACAGATGGAGGGGCTGAGCATGCTGTGGGGCAGAGGGATGCTCCAGCCCAGCCGGCCCATACCTAGCTCTGGAGAAACCTTGTTCTTGCTGCCACTTTAAAGCTGCTGTGAAATGACAAGAGTTTTCATGACAGTTTGTCTGTTGGTCAGGGAAAAGCATCACTCAGTGAGACTGGGCTGGCTTTGGGACCCTCATCCCAAGCCTTCTCTGCTGGCTGTGATTCAGCACAGGTCTACAGCTCAGTATCACAGACTGGTTGAGGTCAGGAGGGTCTCTGCAGATCGTCTTGTCCACAACCTTCTGCTCAAGCAGGGCCACCTCAAGCCCATGTCCAGATGGCTTTCAAATACCTCCAAGGAGGGAGATTCCAACACTTTTCTAGGCAACCTGTGCCAGTGCTCAGGCACCCTCCTGATGTTAAAACAGAACCTCCTGTGTTTCAGTTTGTGCCCATGGCCTCTGTTCCTGCCACCGGGCACAACTGAAAAGGGCCTGGCTCCATCTTCTCTGCATCCTCCCTTCAGGTGTTTGTACACATTGATGAGATCCCCATGGAGCTTCCCTTCTCCAGGCTGAACGTTCCCAGCTCTCTCAGCCTGTCCACAGAGGAGACGTGCTCCAGCCCCTTCATCATCCCAGTGGCCCTTTGCTGGACTCCCTCCATTATGCCCCACATCTCTCTTGTAGACAGGAACCCAGAACTGGACATTGCTCCAGCTGTGGCCTCACCAGTGCTGAGCAGAGGGGAAGGATCACCTCCCTCAACCTGCTGGCAATGCTTTGTCCAGTGCAGACCAGGACACCATTCACTTTCCTTGCCTCAGGAACTCATTGCCGGCTCATGTTCAACTTGGTATCCACCAGGACCTCAAGGCTCTTTACTACCAAGCTGCTTTCAGCCTGTCACCCCCAGCATGGGGTTGTTCATTCCCCGGAGCAGGACTTCAGCAAAACTGATGGTCCAACGCTCTGTGCTGTCATATAAGAGACTAATTTACTAGCTAGTTGTCTCCAGCTTCCTGGACTCTTCTCATCCAGAAGAGAAGGGAGGCCCTGGCCAGTGGAGGTGATGAGACCCCAGACATTTGGCACTGCTTTTAGGGAGCCTCAGCCCCAGGGACCCAAAGCACCTTCCTTTTATAAAGCACAACCATACTTCATGACTTAAAGCCTGTAAGTGCAGCTGATTTTGCTGTCAAATAGTGGGACTTAGTAAGTCAGTCACCAGAACTGCTGCTGCTGCCTTGCAGTGAGGTGGCACAAGTGGAGAGCAGTGTGGAGGTCACATGTTGCATCCAGTCCTACTAATATTTGCTTGCAACAGCCTTTGATATGAAAGATATTAGTCCTGTGGCAGAGAGCAGCAAAACTGGGATTCAGATTGAAAGGAAGATGTCAAAGGCTTTAAATCCCGACACTGGAGTGGTGAGATTTGTCACTTCTTGTGACTTTTATAGAACAGTTTTTGAACTGATGTAAGTCATCATAAGATCCACAACAAAATTAGATTATTTCCAGACTCAGGGCCGTTAGAAACTGGAGAACCAATGTGGTGCGAATCATGCATTCCTATGTTAAACAGGATGAAAACTGGCCTTTGCCTATGGGAGTATTTGATGAAGCTTGTTTCTTTGACCAACGTTTTTCCCTTTGTGGTCTTGATTAAAGGCAAAGAAACATGAACATCCCAAAATTTGAGAGTAACCGATGGTAGCTTTAGTCTTCCAAGAGCTTGGAGGCACTGATCATATACAAGCAGGATGACCAGGGTCAACAGGCTAACGAATAGTCCATGGAAGCACATCCTTGAGGAGTCCCATGAGTCCAAAAGCCACATAAGAATTTTGCCACTGGCCACACTATGTGGCTGAATCCCACCTCGGATCTGCCCAGTAGCCAGTGCTGTAACCCTGCATGGCAGCTTGCAAGCTTCCTCCAGCTCTAGGACAAAAGCTCAACAGAGAGCAGCTCCTTGCAGGTCCAGGGCAGCTTTCTGCAAGCCTCGGCTGTGTAAGCAACACACAGGGATGCCAACCTCTGTTAGAGTTTAACAGCACCAGAGGTAATCACTCCCTTGGGAATTCAGATAGGATAAGAGAGGCATGATACTTCCCTTACAAAACAAGCCATCCCATGAGGTCACTAACAAGTGGTCTCAATCATAGAATCACAGCATCAACCAGGTTGGAAAAGACCTTTAAGCTCATCCAGTCCAACCTCTACCCCAGCAGTGCCAAGGCCACCACTGACCCCTGGCACTGAGGCCTCGGCTACACGGGCTGTGAACACTTGCAGGGACGGTGACTCCAGCCCTGCCCTGGGCAGCCTGTTCCAATGCCTGAGCACCCTCTGGGCAAGGAATTGTTCCTCAGCTCCAGCTAAACCTGCCCTGGGGCAGCTTGAGGCTATTTCCTCCTGTCCCATCCCTTGTTCCTTGGGAGCAGAGACTTAGGCTCAGAAGAATCTCAGCTTTACCTGTCACATGAAGGACTAAACTAGTCTTACTGCTGCCCCCTCCTCACCACCTGCTCTATCACCTCATCGAGCTGCCTCTTCTGGGCACTGCTTCTTCTTTATTGCTCTGTTCCACAGACCAATGCCTTTTCTTCCCAAGAACAACAACAGTGGAAGCCAGATTGTTCTGAATGGTGTTAGAAGGCAGGAACCTGGCTAAAAACATTCCTTCTCTCTGGAGGCAGGTTTCGGGTGTTGCCAGTGTCAGGGGTGTTACACCAGCTTCATACAGTAGGAAAAGTCTCAGTCAGGGCTGATGGAGCCAGTGAGCACATCCCTATCTAAAAACAAAATCAGAGTTTGAAGTAGACAAGCTAATGGTTCAAATCCTAATGCTGCTCTCTTCTGCACAGATGCTGATTCATTAACATCTCACTGATCAGATTAATACACTTGCCAAATGTATTAAGGTCAATGTGAAGTAGAAATATTGAGAGTTAAAAGTAAGCGGATGGTGGCAGGTGCTACAGGATGTGGTTGCACATATGAACAGCTTACATATGATGAACACATATGAACAGCTTATATATGATGAACACATATGAACAGCTTATATATGACCAGTCACATATGAGACATCTAGTGTACAGGAGCAGAAGGTTCATTAACACCTCCCAGGAGGTGCTGACCCTGTGATGGGGTACGTGGGAAGCCCCTCGTGCACATGGCCACACAAAGCCACACAGCAGCCAGCACGTTCTTCCTTCCTAAGTTGAAGCATCCATTTACTACTTACCAACTGCCACCCTCCCTCACATGGAGGATCCCCACAGCCCTTAAGCTGTACCTGGTGCCCTTGGCATTCTGTTCGCTCCACCAGCCAGGGCTGTTGATGGCAGAGGACAGTGAAGATGCAGACCAGGGTATAAAGGTTTGCCTGATGCTCTCTGTCTTTCCCATTGCATGGCTCAGATGTCCGTGATGGCTGGCTTGCGTCTCCTGCACACCTCTCTGGAAAGCATTCCAAACCCTGAAGACCCTGAATGTGAAAGCGAAGGGTGGATCCTGGAGAACAACCTGAAGGACACTCTGAAGTCCGCGCTGGAGAGTTTGAAAAAGCTTGGTAAGTTCAACCAGGTGGAAGCAGAAGCTGAAGGGGCCGAAGGAGAGGAAGGTGGGAAGACACCAGCCATCACAACGGTCAGTTGAGCTTCTAACCGAGGTGGACTTGTTATCAGAGAAGAATAAACAAACTGAGAATTGTGAATATCTACATTATAAGCTACACATCAACCATCAGCATACACAGTTCTGCACATGCTTTTCTTTTTGTATATGGGAGTATACAACATAATGCACCTGGGGATAACACATTTATCCCCAGTGTGAATACACCATCTTCATATCTAACTGGGGAAATGACCCCACTAGGACTTGTAAGATTCACGTGTTCCCTCATCAGGGACAGCTAGTTTAAAAACCACACAGTGATCCATCCCATCTTATTTTGAAATCAAAAGTGGAATTTGAGAAGTTAATCTTTTTTTGCTCAAGTTGGTTTATCAGTGTATTTTATGTGCTTCCACTTAGAAAGCAAACAGGTTGTCTGGGGAGTACCATGTTAGAAGTCCAAGGAAAGGATTTCCAGAGCTGTATATAACTTAGGATGCAGGTATTTTGTCAAACCTCTCATACCATGTAATTTTTGTTAATGTGCTAAGCAGTGGTATTTTTTCCTGCTGTGTTCTTAAGATGTACATAGAACAAAATGCAAACTTCTGTTGAGATTTTATGTCCTACGCAAGAACTGTAATTTGATGAAGCAGCACAAGTATCATGAGAACAACATTAAGGTAAGATTTATGGGGTTTGTTTCTCAGGGTGGGTTTCAGCCTGGATGTCTTGAATGAGCCTGTTGTAGACTTTCACTTCACCTTGTATTTAAACAAGCAGAAGCTTAGAAGATTCCTCTTGTAGTGGGTGGAATCAGTGCTATGAGCGTGTGCCAGTTATGGGTATTCTGGACATGGTAAGAAGTATGTAACACATCATTGCTGGCTCCAGAACATTCAAGCCCAGCTGGTTTTAAGACAAGGAAAAAACCCAACCAAAACAACAACAAGAGGCCACTTACTTAGAACTAACACTTTAAATGTTTTCGGGGTCCTAGCAAATGGACACCATTCATCCATATATATGTCAAGCCTCAAGCTTTGAGGCTGGCGAAAAGTAAGTTTAAATCAGCCCCCAAAAGACCAAATTTTACAAGTTTTATTTTTCTCTATCAGTGATAGGGTACCCTTCATTGTATCTTTGAAGTCAAAGGGAAGGCACGTTAAGCATATGCTGCTGCATCTCTCAGGACCCTGTTCTCATATGCGAAGTTGGAGTAAGGTGTGGAAAGAGTTTGCAGTGGTGCATGCCTCTAGAAGGGAAGGTGATGGGGAAGAGAAGTGATGCTCTAAAGCATCATCTTGAGTGTATCCGCAGCTGCCAGATAATTTCAGCTAAAGGGAAGGAAACCCCAGAGAGCAAACCCCAGCCTCCTGCATGAACGACTGCAGCATCTCAGCTACAAGCCAGGCACCACGTTTAGTTTTACCCTGGCTGTGCAAAACCTCTGCTTCTCTGTGGTGTGCCTGGGAGAGCTTTCTCAGTGGGTCCTGGCTGGTCTTCAAACAAAGCCATGTTTGCAGCTGCCTAATTACTGCTGTAATTACTGCCCATTAGTTCTCATTCTTAATCACTTGTGTACTTGCCCCAGCAGCACTCAGCTCCTCCAGCTTTTGTTCAGACTCCTTCTAGGATGAACAGGCCATTCACAGCAGGACAGGCAGGGATGCATCCGTACACCAAGCCATGGTCTGCATGTCAGTGGCCAGGCTGTTCCAGGCCATCTGCACACAAGGTTTGACTTTGGCAGGTATTTGTGGTATCCTTTCACTTCTTCAAAGCTGGTCACAGCTTTTCACTTTAGTTACAACGAGTTTAGTCACAATAATGAATTAAAAAATCAACTCTGTTCTTTTGTGCTTAAGACTGACTAGAAGAGGGGCACTAACATAAAAGCCAACTTGCTACTCACCACAGCCTATCATCTGTTGCTTTGCTGAGGACACTCTGCAGGGCAGAACTGTATGAACCAGAACAACTCCTTCCTTCTGAGTAAGACACCACCACGGCTGGCTGCTCCTCTCAGCTGGCCTGTTAGAGAAGAACAGGACTGTGGCTGGCACGTGATGTGGCCACATATACCAGAGAAGAGCTTTTCAGAGGAGCCACATAAGGGTAGGAGCTGCATTGCAAGGATTAACCACAGTTTTTCCTTGTGAGGCTTCAGTGTGCTGAGATTTATACCAGTCTCTTGACTGGACGTTTGAGATTTCAATGAGACCTACATTTACTGCTGCCCTAGAAATCTGGTTTAGGCCACTGGTTTAGACAGGACTCTCCAGTTATTTGTGGTCTCTCTATTTATTTCTTTTCAGCCTATTGCTAGTGCAACATAACAAATTGTCAAATTCCACCTTCAACATCACATTAGAGCAGCCAGTTCCCAGAGCAAGAGTCTCATGGTATTAGGCGGATAGAGACACCATCTGAGACAGGTTTATGAAGAATAGTACTGGAATCAGGCTTTCATACAAAGAAGAAATAGTGTACATGCTAATGCTGTCCAAAATAAAGCCTCCTGGTTAACGAAGATCTTTGTAACACCATTACTACAAGATTTTAACAACTGCTTTGTAAAATATTACATGTAATATATCATTTTACCAACCTTACTTTTACTTACTTGTGACATTGCAAATGCTGTTCTAGATAAAGGTATCTCTGCTGCCTGCAAATGTAAATTTAGGTATTAAAAATTCTATGGCAAGTAAAGACCTCTTGAAAGAAAACGTTTAAATGTACACAATTTAATACAGATTTCTTTAATTTGCATTACTACTGATTTCTTGCTTCTGAATTCATTTTTTGGACCTGTTTCATGCATCCCTAAAGGTGGGAAGCTTTTCTCCCCTCCATATAATGCTCAGGGAGAAAGCAAACCTTCCTCTTCTCTATGCCCTGCTGAGCTCAGACCCCTAAATCACTGACCTCTTACTAGAAATAGAATTTGCTTGTCCATTTTAGTAGAAGCCTCTTGTAGTACACAGGAATTAAAACATCTTCACAGGCCTTAACTTCTAGACGTGCTCAAGAGATGAAACCACCGGCACCCTCAGGATCTCTGACAATCAGCTAATCTGGGTTTATAACCTCTTTTTTCCACTTGTTTCAACTGAACTTGCAACTGGCATTCGGAAGAAAGTATCACTGTTACTTTAAATGTAAGTCCAAAGCTCAGGTGGACAAATCTGCCCACAGCAACCCAACAACGTCCAGAGCCTTGCCCTGATTTTCAACTAATAAACTTAATTCATACAAACCAGGCCACTTCTTTTTAGGTACCTCCGTATGGATTACCGGCTTAAACCCAAGTACCCAGATCCCAGAGCCAGCCCAAGGCCTTGAGGTGTCACCTGTTAAGAAATACCATTTATTCTTTAAAAGAAACGACAACAAGTGCACTATTTTACTGATAACATTTCTTTGAAGGGACACAGAACGTTCACTAAAGTGCTTTAGAAGAGGAAATATAAACAGCTTCCTTAAAGCTATTAATTCCTAAGTAGCCTTAATGCAATTGATAAGATTAGCCTCTGTGCATTACATGAGCTGGGACATTTTATAACACCAGCCAAATGCATGTGTGCAGCTTAGCAAAGAGCCTGGGGATGCTATATCGGGCTCCAAGGTACCATGAGCCTCCGAGCTAATGGTCAGAAAAGATTTTCAAGGCTGACATAAAGAAAAGGAAAAGGATTTCCAGCAAAACCCTTCTTTTCCAGCAAAACTCGTTTGCTTTGCAGGAAACCCGAGCGCTGTTCTCCCCATCAGCAGTGTAAAATGGGGACATGTCACAAATGCTTATTAAAGAAAAAAAAGAAAGAGCATTATTAGAGATTAGTTAATTAAGAGCTAAGGCCAGAAAAATAGAATGGAGCCATGTGATAACGGCTCCCTGGGGGGAGATGAAGGCTTAGAGAAACTTATTTCTGGTAACAGCAATGCGGCGCTCTCAGCTGTGAAGCAGTGCAGACATGAAATTTCCTTTTCAATCATTATGTTAAATGGTATCAGACCCATAGTGCTCAGGGACTGGAACACTTGAAGGAGTAAAACTCATCTCAAAGCACCTGCATTTGCTGCTCCCGGGTCATTTCATGGGTATCACTGAGCTTTGATGCAAAGCACATTTGTGAGGTTGGAAAGCTGGAGAGAGCCTGGCCTGGAGCTCAGCTCCATGGGCTCTCTATCACAAGGACAGGCTCTGCAGCACCTTCCCCAGGGAACACAGCCCTGTTCTGCAGTGCCAGGGCTCCCACCTCCCATCCAACCACCCCCCTCCAAAGCAACACACACAGAACAGGTTTTGCCCAATTCACCTGTTTCTACTAAAAAGGAGGATAGTCCCTAAACATGAGTCAGCTTCCGTACTTTGTTCTCAAAGCAAAGGGTGGTGCAGGAGTCAGAGGTACCTTTGCAAAACAAAGAGCAAAGGGCAGGTCTGCAGCCTGTCACCTGATGGAAGGCACAGGGCTGCACCAGGCAACCCAGCCTACACACCAGTTACACCACAGCCGCAGGCAAAACAGGGTCAGGGTTGCAAAAAGCTCCTCCCTGTGAGGGTGCTGAGGTGCTGGCACAGGGTGCCCAGAGAAGCTGTGGCTGCCCCATCCCTGGCAGTGTTCAAGGCCAGGTTGGACACAGGGGCTTGGAGCAACCTGCTCTAGTGGAAGGTGTCCCTGCCCGGGGCAGGGGTTGGAGCTGGAGGAGCTTTAAGGTCCTTCCAACCGAAACCAGTCTGGGATTCTATGACTAGGAAATGAGGAGACGTGGGCACGTGAAGCTTGGTGAGGCATGGCTGCAGCTGGAGGGGCAAGGAAAGGAAGAGACCGAAGCAGTAGACCTGAGGCGCCCAGTTCCCCAGACTGACACTCTCGTTCAGGGGTGAAAATGAAATTCACTTCTTCCAAAAAACCCCACACCCCATAGAGGTCACTTTGAATTCTACAACAAGATCTAACAGCAGTGCTCAAGAGCCGCCGTCCCTCCCAGCTCTGCAGACACACAGAGCCCACCCTCCGGCCGGGCAGCAGCTC